AATAGTTTTTTTTATGTAGCACTGAAAAACTATATGAATGAATGTATTTTTATTAAAGGCGTGCAAAGCAAGGCCAAAAGCTAGCGACTGGTGTAAAATATCTGACGATCCGGAGTACAAATGCGGCAATAAACTTAGGGATTACCAGCTAGAAGGATTGAACTGGTTACTGTTCTGCTGGTATAACAGGTATTTTTAAAGAATATTTTCGGGAGGGCGGGGTAGTGTTTAGAAAAGCCAGCACTTAACCTTTCTCTTTAGACGAAACTGTATACTAGCCGACGAAATGGGTCTCGGTAAAACCATACAGTCGATCACGTTTCTTGAGGAGATGTGCCGCTACGGCATACGTGGTCCGTTTCTTGTCATTGCTCCACTGTCCACAATAGTCAACTGGCAGCGAGAATTCGAAAATTGGAGCGACATCAACGTTATTGTTTACCACGGGACTACAGTCAGCCGACAGATGATCCAGACGTACGAGATGTACGTTAGAGACGAAAAGGTAAGTCATCAGTTTCGTGATGTAAAAATTCCAGCTGAGTTATGCTTATTTATTCAGATAGTTGTTTTTCATGAGTTTTACATAATTAGTTTCCGAGCATTTTCGGGAACTATATATTCAGTACTAGCTACTGATGTTTCAGCTTCCGGGACATTGTCTTGTGTGAAGCAAGCTTAATCAGTGCTGGATACTGAAATGTCGGAAGTTTTATGTCACGTCTAAGCCCATTGTCTTGCAAACGATAGAGAGTTTAGAACCCTATCGGTATATTTTTATCTGTGATTACCATGGTGAAGACGCGTGTCCGACGTCAGTAAATAAAGTATTTTACATCATGTTTTAAATCTTAACTGTCGTCTTTAATTATTGATGAGGGAGCGAAGACCACTAACTGTTATTCGAGCAGGTATCGAATCGATACTTCTTTCCATTCCTACATTTCTGCAATAGAATATTAATTTTCAGAAGGATATGGTAATTGCAAATAAGGTTATGATGTATTCTTCAGTCATATCCCAGATGTTAAGAGACAAATAATGGCATGATTTGATGATCTGTGAAAAGTAATCGGGCTTCATTGGCTAACGTCATCTCGCATCAGCTGTTAACATGGGAACCCAAACATGGACAGTGACAGTGTAGAAAATAAGTAAATGCCGGCTGTTGATGAATTTTTCTGTAATCAATGTTATAAAATTTCCTAATGACACGTTTGGAAACATTGAAATGAACGTGGATAGCGCAGGTGTGCATCTGGTTGAAGATAATGAAGCTAAACAAAAATGAATTTATTGTACCAAACTATTTAAATCCTGTGCAAACTAATGTTGGACGTACGTTGGTTGCAAGCACAACTAATAGACCGACGTTGAGGTTTAGCTTTACTGAATTTTGTGAATTTAATTTAACTGGCAAATAGCGGTGGCTATCTTCGGAGTAAGTAATTATCTGAGAATAATGCAGTGTTAAATTCATTGCAGTCCTCAACACCGGTTTTCTGGTGCATTTATGCCCGTTGTAACTCTGCCATTTGCTTTGAAATGGGGAGACCTCAGTCAGAATAAGTCTTTGCAATGGTAAATCTGTCCATCCGTTCAAATAATCGTTTTCAGGGCGCTAAGCGCGAAAACGTGAACAAATTCGAGGCACTGATTACCACGTACGAAATGGTCCTTGCTGATTGCGATATATTCAAAGAGATCACGTGGAAAGCGCTTATCATTGACGAAGCACATCGCTTAAAGAACCGGAACTGCAAGTTGCTCAGCGAGTTGTCTACGTTTAAAGTGGTAAGCTTGATATTGATTTTCTGTTTCGATTTCCATCATTCAATACGTGTAACAAAAGCCTGTACTAAACTTGCTTTACGAAGAACGCAGTCCCGCGATAGCTTGTTTGAAAAACTTCCGCGATCAAATTCCTGGAACTGATTGTGGATGAGCGCTCTGGCTGACAATTTAAGTGATAAATGCAATGGTTGGCCAAATGCGGCGATCGGTTTCAGTGTTGTACGTTGTTTCAGAAGTACTGAGAGACCACCAAATCTTACCTTCTATCGCATTTTCTCTGCCCTACGTCGGCCTACTTCTGCAGTCTCCGGGGGGAGGGGGACAGCTGCCTCGCGTCCGAAACTGCTTGCTCGACCCTGTATCTGCGACTTTTGGTCACTGTAACCAGAAGCTTCATAAAAACAACATCTACTTTTGGGCATATCTATTCTAACTGATCTTGTTCACTCACTACACCGATGTTCCCAATAATACCTTTCTAAGTGGCCAAGCATAAGATTCTTGTACATTCATTGTTGGTGTTGGACTGAAGGTCAGTCGGTCCGTTTGCTGTGCAGTGTTTGGTCGATCTTAAGAAAAACGAACTGTTATTTTGGACCAGACTCTGGTCAGCCTGATATGACCGATCTACTTTCGTATCTGGTTTTATTCACTGGTACCTGTAGTTGTTAAATTCATGGTTTTGGTAACTTATCCTATGCCTAACATACCACTTTAGTAAATTTCACTATCACTGTTCTTTTTTATTTCGTCCATGACTTGACTTGCCTGTTTTATTTCGTCCATGAAATTAGGATTTAGTTTCACATTCAACTGTGAATTTTTGGAGAAATAGCAATATCGACTGTTAGCTTGTATGGTTATACAGTTGAATTGTTATGCAGTTCATGCGGCGTTGTTTTTCTATTGATTCAAGCAATTATACACGAAGCAGATGAGGCAGTGTCTTAAGAATAATCTTCATCAGCTTTTTTCGATCCACTGCTGGATGAAGGCTCACCAAGGCTTTACCACTGACTTCTGTTTCTGCCATATTCGTACATGTTGATCCAGCGAAATTATTTATCTCATCCTGCCATCTGTCTCAAATTCTTTTGGAACCCAGTCTAATGTATCTTTGGCCAGCGATGGTTGATTCTTGTCGCAACGTGTCCTGCCGCCCATTGCCACTTCAATTTTTTTCAGTCATGCTATAACATCAGAGACTCTTGTTTGTATTCTTATCCATTCATTCGTCTTTCCTGTCTTTTCTTGTTATTCACAACATACGTCTGTCCATACTCCTGGCGTACTCGGCAGTTTATGCATAGCTTTTAGGCGTAGGATCCACGTTTTATACGCATGAGTTATCATTGGGAGCATACACTGATCAAATAGTTTCCGTTTAAAGCACAGGGAAGGTTCCTCGAATATGGTCTTCTGCCTAAAACGTGCTCCATGCCATTTTTATTCTTCCGTTATTTTACATAGGCGATTCTACTTTGCAGAGATGAGCTGTCTTCTGATGTTTCTTAGATTAAGTTCATGAACTTTAACAGGTAGTGCCATCGCGTATTTGTCATACATTACCAATGTTTACAGGTTTATTCTCAGTTCCACTTTGATGCTGGCGACATTTAGCTCTTGGATTCTTCTATGGACGTTTTGTCCTGACGTTGAGAAGGTCAGAATATCCGGAAACAGCAGATTGCAAAATTAGTGCCCATTTGTCTGCTGCCGCTTATTTTCTGAAAGGAGTATGACGAAAGCCTCTCCTAGGAATGCTGTGGACAATTTCGGTTATAGTGGGTTTCCATGTTCAATTTGAAGCGTGCTTGTGCTGTCCTGAGACATTACAGTAACCGTCACGTGTTTTTGTAAATCACAGCGTTAAGGTCTATGTGTCCTTTGTCGATTTTCTGGCTTACCAAGGAATCCAGAGCGGAGCAGGTATTGACTGATTCCATTGCCTTCTCGAAAAGGATGACCCCATATAGCGAGGAAGTTGATATTCGTTGCTTGTCTGAATTACTTGAATCACCTGGAGATGAGCTATTGTGCTATAACCACCTTTTATTATACGAAGAATAACATTCGGATATTCACATTCACCTTTTACATGGGAACATAGAACAATTTGTACAGCTAGGTTAATGTGCTCATGAATATATGTTCTACCATTTTGCTTATCGCGCTTTTGCTTATACTGTTTAATGCTTGTATTGTATACGTAAATACTATAATGTACGGTATTTTAGCACCTGTAGGAACGTGGTGGTGTATGGCGCAGTACCGTTGATACACTGCTGTACCGTATTTCTAAGTACACTGCGTTTTTACATGAATACGTACAAATACTATAAGTGTTCTCAGTGTTTGAGTATTGTAATGAATATGTTGCAGTGAAAAGTACTGAGACTATGGCAGTTATTGTACTGTCTGATGTAGTGCGGTTTGTTCTTAGATTACCTTATACTGATTCCATAAAATATTTGTTACTTTATGGTACTGTTAATATAAATGGAAAAGGAACTCATCTGTCTTCAGATAAAGATATCTTTTTGTGCGGTGCAGTAACCGTGGTCATGAAACAATGGTGCTGAAAAGCTGAGAATACCGAGGACATCGGAAACCAGCAACGTACTGCTTATGCCAACGGTTGAAGATGATAAACTCAACAAGCCACAACAAGACAGCAATCTGCATATATGCATAAATCATGTCATTTATGCAGGTATAGATATGCAAGCTAAACTTTGAAATAATAGTAGTGAATAATACACCTTACCAAAGTATGTATTATCAAAGCATAAACATGAACCTGCATAATATAGTACATTTACTTCAGAATGATGCAAGAGGCATCTGTGCTCCATGTCGCCTGACTTTCTGGAGTATTTCATTCATGTTTAAATGAACCTCACGGCTTCCATCCTGACAGTGAAGGCAGTTATGATTACGGGGAGGCTTGTACTTATGGATTTTGCCGAACAACTAAAGCATCAGTGGTAGAATTGTTATTTATCCCAGCAGCCAGTTTGATCAGTTATACTCGGTTTCGAACCTAAAACATAACGACTTCGAAAATCTGCTGCCAGTAGCTAGCAGGCTTCATTGTTAATATCGGTTACGTTTCTATTTTGTTATGCATAAATGTCGATTAATATTTTTCAGGACCACAGGGTGCTTCTTACGGGCACCCCTCTGCAGAATAACGTTGAAGAGCTGTTTTCGTTGTTGAATTTCTTGGAGCCCCAGCAGTTTTGCAACTCGGAATTATTTCTGTCAGAATTTGGTACACTTCAAACAGATGACCAGGTGCAGAAACTTCAGGAGATATTGAAACCAATGATGCTGCGAAGACTGAAAGAGGATGTGGAGAAGTCACTGAAGCCCAAAGAAGAAACTATAATCGAAGTAAGTAACATCCTTTTCTTTTAAAGTTGTAATAATTGGGACTGATTTTTCGAACATAGATTATACGTATTTAAAACATTTTCTGTCTATTTTCAATTTCCTTTATGCCGAAAAACAGCAAAAACGTAGCAGTTTATTCATACACATTAAGATAGACAAATGCTGATGTGTCGGTCCCTATTCCGCAACACAGCTTTTGCAGATGGGGGTTGTTCGTAGATTATGCATATCTATTTGTGCAACTGAATGTGTTGCTTAGCCGCCTGGTGGGCTTTTGATGTATGCTGCTGGCTCAACGGTTATCTGGTGACAAATGCAACGACGTTTATTCAGCAAGTGCACAGCTCCCCTACTTTGTCGCGGTTGACGTTTTTATTGAACTGCATGTTTAATGCTTCCTTGACCGATATGTTGTAGTCACTTTGTTTGGCTGATAATTTCCACATGAGCGTATCCTTTCTTCTTTGTCTTGTGCTAGACGATTTCGGAGGTCTTTTTACTAATGATCTTGACTTGGCGGCGAGCAGAGTTTGGTATTTTTTGGTATGCTTCGTTTGAACGTACATCACGCTCTTGTCGACCGTCACCCATTTTCTCTACCGTCTTTTGGGTAGCGGTGTACAACTCTGTGTATATTTGCCTAGTAGTTTGCAAAATCGAGCCCGGAGAATTGTTACTCTCAGAATTTCGTAATGAAACATTAATGTTGTTGAAATTCTTATATATTCGCGTTAACGTAATACTTATTATTTAATGCTCCTAATTATTTAGTTCGTGTATTGGTGGTAATGCTGAAAACAGCATAAACACGGTCTGTTTAAACAACGACACTTTTTTAATCGAATTATTGCCGGTACCGACGTTTGTGCCCATTTTCATGGGTTTTCTTCAAAATACAGGGGTGTTGCCTTCAGAAGCTTTCCTGCTTACGAAGTCAACCACTCTGTCTTCTCTACCGATGTCCGTAAGAAATGGGCCGAAAACTCTGTAATAGCTAATTATCTGATTGAACAGTTGTTTGCGTTGTATACGAATATGCCGCGTTTTATAGTGTTTTTACCGTTTTTGTACATCTTTTGAAATATCCCTACTATTGCACGAACAGAATACTTCCTATTTTCCTGCCTTATCAGTGACTTATGATTTTGGTTAACGGTTAGATTTTGAATTCCAAAAAGCGTTCCAAAGACCAGTCTGAAACTTTCAGCGTTTACGAGTGCCGAGTTAACATTCTAACGTTAAAATATTTGCCAGGAAATCGTACAATCTGTTGCTCTACTGGGCCATCAAAGGCTAGCTTTGAGCGTCACCGATACATATGAAGCCTCCAAGAGCTTTATGCTACTATTATGCCATAAAAGAAAGACCTTCACGATGATTTTCTCTCGTTGCCCTGGCATTCGTTACAGTTAAATCAGTATTCATGGTCTGGTTATTGTACCTTGCTTTTTTACTTGTTTTTTGAAAAGAAAACCTTTTTTATTGAAACCTGTTAAGCGATAAATTATAGGTGGAATTAACGAATACACAGAAGAAGTACTACCGGGCAATTTTGGAACGCAACTATTACTACCTCTCTCACGGCGCTTCGGTGCCGTCTTTAATGAATACAATGATGGAGTTGCGGAAGTGCTGCAACCACCCGTTTCTCATAAATGGTAAGGACCACTGGTTTACTTTCGTTTCACCATTTGCTCGATTTAAATTTTCTTGAGTGTAATAGAAGTACAAGAAAAAAAATGCATTTCATCATTTATAAAAACTGAACTAAATCTTTAGCTAAAGTATGTTTAAAATTTTATGGATTTTTTACGCTTCGTCAACGATCACTTGCTGCTAAACTTTCATTTCTGTCCTGCGAACTCTCGTCCATTTCTCTTTACGCGTTTCGGCTGTTATATGTTGTTGACTATTATAAGTCCTATAAAGGGGTATCCTTTTAAGTTCGTACTCTCGTTGGACCTGTCATTAGATGTGATACTCCAAAATGATAGTATTAATTTGGAAGCACTACCCCTCTAAATTCCAGTCAAGAAATGCCAACCTGCTTTTCATTAGATATTATTACGCATTGAAATTAAAATACATAGAAACGGCTTAAACTCCGCTGTTGCCGGTCACAAGCCTGGTTGAGAAAGGAAGAGGGTAGGAGACCGCGAAAAAGTCTCCGTAAAAGTTAG